GAGAGGAGAGAGAGAGGAGAGAGAGAGGAGAGAGAGAGGGAGAGAGAGAGGAGAGAGAGAGAGAGAATGTCAAGTTCAGCAGAATTTGGAGAACTAATTTCACTTATAAGTCTCTCTCTCTCTCTTTTTTTTTTTTTGCAAAGAACAACAAACTCCGTGCAGTAGGTTGCCAATTTTTCTCCTTGTGGGGTTCCTTGTTAAAAGGCAAGGGGAAAGTTAGCAGTTGGAACATCTTCCCATCTCCAGCAGCGAAAGCCCAAACCACAATTATTATTATTATTATTATTTGGCTTTTTCATTCCAGTATTTCCACTTAAGCGCCACCTAAAAAGCTACAGTTTAAAAATAAATGTATTGATTCAACGCCTATGCTGTCCAGCTCGCCAGGAAAAAACAAATAGGTAGATTTTGTACAGAGCATGTTTAGCATTTTACTTAAAATTGCAAAATATTGGTCCAGGCCATCATGTGACGTGTTAGCTCAGCATGATGCACAAATCCACCGAACAATTAAGACCAAGTTCCTTTTGGATGACTATGGTTAATAAGTACCAACGAACTGCCTTTCAGACATAATCCACGCAATGGAAGACTGCCTAGGGAACAGTTCTAGAATGATTGCTGATCAATATTAAGATTGCTGGATTAGGGGATCCGGTTGGGAACAAAATGCTCAGCCAAGTTAATTCTTCCTGACGCATAAATATCAAGACAGCATCACAAGACCGAAGCCCTAAGTAAACTCCAGAGCATTAAAGTCAACTCTCTCTCAAACAGTGCTGGGACAATCATCAAGAGTCTTAAAACCGGACAGATGGGAATTCACATGTTTGAACACTCCCTTTATCTGTATGCACAAGTCCTTCAAACATAGCAAGCCCATGGGTCAAGGTGAAGGGATCAAGTGTCCTGTTAACTAACAGGGAGAGTGGAGCAATCACTAACTTAGTGAGTATTTGGGGGAGGGCAGGTAACAGCAGAGTGGCAAGCATACGAAATGATTGAACTAATGGACCGAACTAACTTCCCGATGCATTTACAGGTTGTCTTCAACTTACAACCTCAATTGGGACTGGACCCTCTGTTGCTGAGTGATGCAGTCATTCAGTGTGTCATGATGCCTGATTTTATGACATTTTTCGCCATAGCAATAGCCCTTAGACGTATATACCGCTTCACAGTGCTTTACAGCCCCTCTCTTAGCAGTTTACAGAGTCAGCCTCTTCCCCCCCCCCCCAACAATCTGGATCCTCAATTGACTGACCTTGGAAGGATGGAAGGCTGAGTCAACCTTGAGCTGGTCCGGATTGAACTGCTGGCAGTGGGCAGAGTCAGCCTGCAATACTGCATTCTAACCACTGCACTAGAGATGGATGGATAGATGATAGATAGATAGATAGATAGATAGATAGATAGATAGATAGATAGATAGATAGATAGATAGATAGATAGATAGATAGA